AATAGTACAAGTAATATACAAACAAAATAAAAGTTTATAAGATATATAGAATGATTTTAAATATGTTTTTAATTATATTGTAAATACAGTGAGTACAGAGATATAAACTAATTTATTATAGGTTAAATTATGTAAACTTAAATTTTTTGCTTTATTATGTACATATATAAATAAATGTAATATTATATAAATTAGACTGCTTTAAAGCAAAATTTTGTGTAGAACAATTTTGCTTAGTAGCCTAAAAGTTGTTTACTTAATAAAATATTTAGTTATAGCAAAATGCTTTTTGAAGAGTTTAGTACAAGTAATTTACAAAAAGAGTTATATATATATATATATATTTGTTATATATATAACTTGCATTGTATATAATATATATAACAGATACAATGTATATAACTTATCATACTATTTGTATTCTAGAAAAAATATAACTAGTTAATTATATTACTTATTATGATTTTTCTTTTTTAATCTTTTTTCATAATAGATACACTATATTTTAGTAATAAAGCTAGCTAAATTATATAACAATTTTTACTAGTATTAATATTTACTTAACTTAGGCTTAATAGACTAATTAAAACTAAAAGTTACAAATAATTTACTTAAGTTAAAATAAAATTTACATTAGTAAAATATATAAAACTTATATATAAGTTAACAACTCTAGTTATAGTAGAGTTTCTAAATAAACTAATTAGAAATCTTTGTAATGATAATTCAAAAATATTATATAGGTCAATTAATATAAAAACCTGTATTTCTGTATATAATTTGTATAAAATTTGAAAAATTATAAATTTGCCTACATATAACAACTATAGTATTTACTATTATTATAGTGTATTTTAGTAAAGTTATAAAATTAAAATTAAAATATATAAATTTAAAAAATCTAAATAATTTAAATGAAATAAATAAATTGTTTCTTTTAAAATTTAAACCAAAAAATTTTTATTGATTGATTAAGTAGTTATCAAGAAGTTATTGCTTAGAAGACTAATATTTACTATATAATTATAATCTCTTTCTTAGATTTAAGTATTTAGAACCTCTTTAAAACCAAGTATTTTGATTAAATATTTTAACAATTATAAGTTTTAAAGTAATTAATTATAAATATTATATCTCTTGTATATTCATATATATTTATATATATTAATACATGAATATGTATAAATATGCAAAAGATATATAAAATATACAAGAAATATATCAAATATGCAATATTTATAATTGATTACTTTAAAACTTATAATTGTTAAAATATTTAATTTAAGTACTTGGTTTTAAAGAGATTCCAAATATCTGGATCTGAGAAAGAGGCTATAATTATATAATAAATATCAGTCTTCTTATAGTAAAATATCTTAAAGTTTTTAATAAAATAAGCTTATTAGAATTTTTTAAAATTTTGAACAAAGCTATCTTGAAGCTACTAGACCAAATTCAATAGAATTTTTTTTCTATCTACAGATTTAAAAAATGATAATAAAAAAAATTTTATCAGGTATATATTCAAATTTAAAAAAAAAAATTTATTTTAATTTTGCAAATTTATAGAATTAAAATAAAAAATATAGAAACTGTAAAAAAAATTTTTATAATAGTCTAAATCTAAAAAGTATATATCATTATTATTTGATACTTGTAATGACTGTAAATTAATGGAGTATCTGTTATAACCAAAATTGTAAAGTTGAGAAAGAAAACATTAAGAGTCCAAAAAATTACTATTATCAACTAATATTGATAAACTAATTGATAGTAATTATGAATCAAAATAATCTTTATCATTTTCAATAGATATAAAAGAATTGTTATATGTAGAATTATTATAGTAGGCAGAAAGAAAAAACTACAGATACTTCATATAGTTAATATTACTATAGAAGAAAAATTTCACTGAATTTGATTAAGTAGTTGTCAAGATATCTTTATTTAGAGTTTAAAAAACTAACTATTTGATCTTTTAATAACAATATATAGCTAATAAAATTATTTTTTTGTTTATTTCCTTTATTAAAATTCAAATACTAGTCATTTCATTTTCACTAAAATTTAATTTTCACTTGTTTATCTTTCATCAGAGGTTTCATCTTTTGTCAGAAGTTTTGGCTTTCACCAGAGGTTTCAACTTTTGCTAAGAGTTTTGTTTTTTATAAGAGTTTTATCAGTTTTATCTTTTTTTAGAAGTAAGGTTTATAGATATAGATATTTGAAGACATATAGTTATTCTAATTGACGTGTCATCAATAAAATTAAAAGTTATATCAAAATGTTATAATTGATATCAGGGATGTGGGATTTTGTGATTTGCTATAATCAAAGCAAATCACAAAAAGCATATAGTTGACTGCGATTTGCTGCAATATATTTTTTGATTAGTTATGTTATATTTTTTGAATATATTAAATTAGTTATGATATATTTTTTATATTTTTTGAGTATATTAAATAGTTTTTGATATATTTTTTATATTTTTTGAGTATATTAAATAGTTTTTATATATTTTTCGAACATATTAAATTAGTTATAATGACGTTTTACTATATGTAATGAAATCAATATAGTATTTTGTTTAGAGAAGAATAATAAATTAAATAATAGTATAAAAGTTTAAATAAATGTGTTTCATTTTTTTCAAATCTTAATTATGGGTCCAAAGCGAGTTTTATTAGATAGTCGAGTATTGGAATTTAAAGAGGATTTTGTAAAAGATAGTGATAAGTTAATGTATCAATTCTGTCACTATAGAATTTGAATAAAGAATCGTTAAAAATGCTGAATATTTTATACTTTAATGGTTCAAATAAAGTTTTATAGCTTAATGATACAAACAAACAAATCAAATTATTAACTATTTGCATGTAAAAAATCAATTTAAATTTTTAGTGCAACTTTTTTTGAAAAAAATTATTATAAGTTTTTTTTTATAAATGTAATAAATCCGTACATAATTATTGATCAGCAGTAAATCAAATAATTTGCTGATAACGAAAACATAATTTGCTAAATTATATCACAAAATCCCTACATCCCTAATTGATGTTTGCCGTAGAGTTACAACTTCTGAGTTGCGTCAAATCGACATTAAGATGGCTACGTCACTAGCATAAGTCTGAATCTATAGTTAGGTTTCATCTTTTACCATTTTTGTAAAACAGTTTCGCCTAACAACTATAGTTTGTAATATGTAATAAAATTTTTTTTAATTCGCCCAGTTTTAAATAGCTTTGGTACTTAACAGTACAAATTTTTGTATACACTGGTACTTTACAGTGTAGTTATTTTTATGCTATGGCCCTGTGGTATTCTATTAGGTTATTGTCATGATTTTCTAAAATATTGAAATATTCATGAAATGACTTAATCATTCTCATTTTTTCAGTTATTTTCATGTAGCACCTACGCCTTACGCATCATATAACTTGCATGACCATCAATTCATTGTGAATAAATAAAAATTCTTGAAATTATAAATAGTTAAATAAAGTAAATATTTCCTTATGTATAAGCACTAATATGGAAAGTTTTAAACTCTTTAATGGTGCGACAAAAAGAAAAGAAAAAACATAAAACTTTCATCACGTATAATATAAGAATAGAGTTTATTATTTTCAAAGATTTCTCTCTTATTCAAGCCTAAACAGAAAATAGTTATGCATAATACATTAGCTTTTTCAAGTCGTTTATGATGCAAATTTAATTATAAATAGTTTAATTGCGATTTAAAATTCTATTAAAAATAATATAAAAGTTTGCATAAGGTATTTTTCGATAGAGATTATCAGCAATTAAAACAAATTTATATAGAGAAAATGAGTGTTCTAACTATATTATGACATTAATTAAAAAAATTGATTTAAATAAATTATTAAAAATATTTTCTTAAGAACTTGAATAGAATTTTTTTTTTCTCTAATATTAGATTTGTTGTAAAATTACTCGCATATCTGATATAGTTATGACCACATATTGTTATGGTTTTAGTTGTGTAGAGGCTAAGTAAACAATGGTTTACCTTTCCTTTATTCTCAACCATCATTGATACTCGAATATCCCATCTGGCTAAGTGATATGCCATCGCGTCCAAACCATAGCTATTGGAGTTAAACTGTGCAACGTTATTCCCAATTTACAATACCGATATATAGTACTGTACGTAACAATATTTAATATCACATTCTAAATATGTAAATTTATTATTAGATAAATTTACCAAAATAAGGAAAACCGAACATTTAATCGTTAATACTAATTCGGATTATTATATGTGTACGTACAGTTATTCGACTCGTATCTACGATTGAAAGGAAATACAAAATATTATATTAAATACAAAATAATATATTTTAATTAAAACTAAAAGCAAAGAAATTATCTTTTAAAAATAATGTACGTGAACGTGAACTTTATTAAATTCATTTTGGGTTTAGTTTACGAAATCTGAATATTCTTAATATTAGTTAACAAAATATCTGTATTAGTTCATTATATTATTACACCTACGTATAATAATACCGAAATACTTATTTGTGCCTGGTACACAAACCCGCTGTTTTGCATTAATTAAATCATTAATTAAATGTTGAATTTACGACTTTGGGGTTAGGATTTTAGCAAGATGTAAAATTTACAAGGAATTTTTTAATTAGAACGCAAAAGGTGGTTTCTTAGTCAAAATTTAAAGTTTACGGGCGATTTATGTTACATAAAACATTACACTCGATCTTGCGATCTATATATGAAAATTTCCTTTTATGGTTTGTATCACAGGCACAAATAAGTATCGGTATACACTAATATACAACTATAGTAAAGTTATAGTTGCCTTAACAAATTTATTAATGTAACATAGAAATTTACCTTACAACCATGTTAATAATAACATAAACAAAGATTAACTTATAAATATGCTATGTCTTCATATCTTATAAAAAATTTTTTCAACGATTAAATTTAGTGACTAATAACACAAAATAACATTGGAAATGATCAATTGCCGTAATATTTGCTCCTTATTTTTCATAGCAATACTTTGTGCTGTGATTTTTAGTTTTACAACCACGAAAATAGTTAAGTTTCCACAACCAGTTAATGGTACTTTTACAGGACTTAAAACTTGGCATCCTAAAATTAAAGGTATATGGAATTTTTTTTATATATATAACGGAATAGGATGAGTATTATGAATTAATGGCTTTTTATTATTATTTTCATTAGATTTTGATACAGAAACATGGTATTCAGTGATTCTTTTCGCGTCTGTTATGCTATTTGTTCCCGGTATATTTATGCTAGTATGGTTGTCAAAAAACGAGACTCTCAACGTCTTTGTACTTAATGGTGAAAAAACTTCAACAGCTTTCTTTAATAAATTACTTGCTGGTTATAGTATCTCAACTGGTTTAATTGCGTTCGTGGTAATTTTTTTTGATATTGGAAAACTTTGGTCATCAGTTGGCATAATACATAATTATTATGAAGCTTTAATTTTATCAGTTTTACATCAAGGAGGAAGTTCTTCAATTAAACTTCATTTCTTAAGTATTGCTTATTTATTAATAACTGAAGTTGCTGTTCTTTTATTGTCATTTCCTTATGATGCTCTCTTGTTCAGATTTGCGGGTAAAATATATTATGTATTTCATTATGTTTTTTTTATAATTGAGATTGACTAATATTTAACTTATATTTACAGGTCTTATTCTTGATACTGCACTTTTTATTCAATTTACAAGAATGTATATTACAACAAAAATAAATGTTAAAGAAGGTTACATTAGTTTACCCCATCACACCTCTGGCGAATCCGAAGAACCTGATCGGCCAAATCATCCATATCATTCTCCAAATAATCCAAAATATTGTCGTCTTTATATATTATTATTACCTTTCGCCGCGCTTTGCCATATTTCGGGAAATGTTTTAACTACTATCTTTACTCAAATTGCACTAGCGTATGTTGATCTTAACTACTAAAATTTATCGTTTATTATTTTCATCTAATTTGTCTGATTGTTTTTTTTTTTCTTCTCTATATAATAGGAATTATTTATTTGCCATAAGTTATTCCTTTATGTCTGCTTATGCTTTCTTTGTGTTTTTAGATACTCATATGGGACAACATAAAGTAAAGAAGCTTATTTTCTTACCTGATAACTCTACCTCGAGTGTCATTTTAGTCACAGTCGCTTCGGCTGCACTAGCGGCTTTGGCTGTTAGACTTGGCGTATTTTATGCTTTAATGATTTGAAATTTTTTTAGTTTATATTGTAAAAAACTAGTTCCTTATTGTTATAATGTTTATATTATATTATATGTTGATAACTTTCCATTCTATTTCATATATTAATAAAATTAGCTTTTTTTTCAATAAGATAATTTGTAAAATAAGAAAATTAAAGACTATCTAGCGATTTTGGTTTTAAAATCCTGGATAAGACGAAAAAACTGACTGTTGAATTAGAACTATTGTCTAATAGTTTATACATAATTTAATATCAATATCTATTGTGAACCGTTGTTACACTTGTAACCCCTTTTCGTAATTTTTATTTTATTTTATTTACCAGGAACGTAGTGAAACGAAGTGGATGGTTCAATTCGATTTTGGCGTTCGTACACAAAATCTCGATTCTGAATGGCTGTTCAAAAAATGATCTGCATTTTGTTGAGTAACATATCAGTCAGGTCGGTTAATAGTAGGTCAAATGATCAACGCATCCAAATTTGGATTAATATATTTGTAGATTAGCGTTAGGTTACTCGGAATAACTTTTTAACGACTATTGGAGTAACAATTAACGTTTAATTAGCCTAACCTAAAATAGAAAGAACTCTTATCGATATTGAAATAGTGAATATTATGTTACTGTATCAAAATCTAATGAAAATAATAATAAAAAG